TAGACTTATTAGTGTTCTAAAAGTAGGCAAATAGTTAACAATGGAAAGCCCTTGTGCCTTACTGGCAAATAACATACTCTGAAATGTGTAATGGGCTTAGAACTAGTACAAAAAAGGTAGATACTATACTGCTTAGACAGTATACCAGTTATGTATATATAAGGAGTTAGTTAGGGTTATATAATGACAGGCCAGATGATCAGAAGGTTAAATAGATAATTTTTTAGTAGATTATTAGTATGACATCTAGTGTAGAACCTTAGAATGAACTACTTAAATAGGCAACTAAAAGTTGTATACATAACTAGTTATACTCTTATTTCTGTAAAAATAATTGTAATAACTAACTCAATATAAGTCAATAAAGTACCATTACAAAGTATAACCTTTAACAAAAAAAATTTATTTATTTATAATTATAATTTACCTACTAATACTATAGATGATTCTTTATTTTAATTTTTGTAATTAATAATAAAATAATAGAATTGTTCTATTATTTTACTAATATACTTATTATATTATTAATATTACCATATTTCTATTATTATAATACTATTATACTACTATTATTTGATGAATATAAAGTAAAATAATAACAGATTTTTTCTGTTATTTACCTATGATTCACTTTTTATTTATTTGTTTAACTTGTAAAAATCTCTGTTTTTATAGATAATTTATATAATATATTTGTAAATTGATATTTTTATATAATAATAAATTAATAAATAATTATTTTTTTATTTTAAAGTGGCAATCTTGCCTGCATGTTTTTTATTAAATAATATATAATTATATGTAATATACATAGTTTATCAATGAAAGTACAACTAGTTATACATATAACTTTAGTCATTATTAATTTAAAGGTTTCATTCACAGGTTATCTACTAGGTATTACATCTGAGATCTACTTGTAAGTTCCTTATTTAACTTTTTGATTTTCAATATTATTTTTGTGTATATATGTAATACTTACATTACCATTATAGTAACATTTGGATTAGAGCTATTTTAGTTACTATTTATATCAAAGTACACCTCATTTGATGTTACTAAGTATTTATATTTCTTCAAATTTACCCTCAACACAAGCTTACTAAGCTGGTACCAAGATTATTACTTAGATCCAATTTAGTATATTTTATATCTACTAAACTGGTTTTAATGCCAAAAGTGTTCAAATTATAGTAAGTCTATTCCTTTTCTGTAGCTTCTTTTTATATTCATCATATTACCTGATAGTGCATCTTTTTTTCATTTCTGATATGTTTATCACATTTCTCACATCAAGTGTCAACTCTCTATATTGGAAAACTTCTTTTTAAAAACTTTCTTGTACACTAATCTTCTATTTATATAAACTTAACTACAAGGCTTTGTATATATTTACAAGCTTCTGTAGATTTTAGAGTTTTTGTCTTTAGCTAAAATTAAACTGTTGATCTTATCTTTGAAGAGAGAAGTACTTAGACTACTAAGATATGAAACCCCATCCTATTTAATAAATAAGCATTATAACTCTTTTTAATAATTATATAAACTAAACTTTTCAAAAAGCTAAATTATAGTAAAATAATATAGTTAATATATTAAACTTTATAAAAACTTTTTTAGATTACTATATATATATAATTGGTCATTGAAATAGAGTTAACAAAAAAGTTACAACTTTGTAATAATAGTTTAAAAATACATTAAAATTATAAAAAAAGTAATTAGTAAAAACCAAAAATTTTTTTATTAAACAAATAAAATTAGATATATTAGTTCTATATAACTATAAAATTTATAAAAAATATCTAAAAAGATTAAAAACTTACAAAAGCTACAAAGTTGGTTTATCTTTTATTTTTATTTTTTTTTAAAAAATATTTGTAAAAAATAATAATTTAGTTTACCCTCTTCTAAAGATCAATATATTAAATCACCAACACAATTAGCAGTATTTATTTCTTAAATAAATTTGTTGATAATATAGATTAAAAATAATATAATAATACAAACATAACTATATATGTATCTTGAGCTATTAAAAATCTGCTAATACTGCCTTCAAACTAATTAGTGCTCTATATTGACCCTTTATGATTAGGTTGAAGTTTTTTTCTTTTTTATAAAGTTTTTTATTAAATAATCTAAGTAAATAAAAAAATAGTAAAGTTATTTCTATTTAGTATAATTTATAAGTTTTAAGAAATCTAATACAGGCTTATGATTGTGACTGTCTAATATTTGTAATTGCAAATTTCATATATATTCTTTTTTCTTATTTATCTTTTTTTCTTCTTTATTTCTTAATTTGTATTTTTTATTATTTATTTTATACCTCTGTTTTGTTTTTTATATAAAATTTTTTTTTGTTTTTTGTTTTCTTATAAAAAAATATTATCAGATTGGCAATGCTTCATTGTAGATTGGCAATTAGATAAGTAGTCTATTTTTAACAAAATAATGTAGTAAATCACACTTAGGTACCATCTAGATAGTTAGTAATGCTAGAATTGTATATCAGAAAATTCTATGTAATTTGTATTATTTTAAGAATTCTAATAAAGTACTAATGTAACTGTTAAAATCAAAAAAATAAAAAATAAATAAATAAAAATAAATCAATAAATAAAATTAACATAACTTTTTTTTAAAAAATTTGAATATAAATTAAATTACAATTCTTCTTATAAATTTTAAAATAACATAAAATTGTTTTGATTAAATTTAACAAGATTTAAATTTGATATTATTAGCATTAGATTTTAATATTATAATAATGTTAATGACACCAAACTTATAAATTCAATCAAATGATCATTATACAAAATTTATAAGAACTTGTAATATAGAAATTAGAAAGACTAAATTTTTAACTAAATTTAGGTATATTGATATAAAAATTAAAATGCTCAAATTTTGTTAAAATTTAAGCACTGAATTTTTGACTAACTTGGATTAAATTATTGTAGAAATTGATATGATCAAATTTTTACTGATCAAAATTTAAAAATTTGACCAATTTGTTGCTAAATGTTATTACAATTCAACTAGTCAAATGTTTAGTTTTTGACTAGTATATTCAGTGAGCTTTCTGATTTTGCTTCTCTTATCAGACTATACATGACTTTTCACATTATTTTGTGTTTAGACTGAAATGCTTTGGGTTTGAAGTTTCCAAATTCACAGAACTTAATAATGATTGGTTTAAGTGCTTTTTATAAAATAGAGGTTCTCATCACTAAATCAATACAATTAAGTGAAATTAATAAATATCATTAAGTTTTATAGCTATTTAGATACTTTAATTAATATATTCTTTATATAAGTGCGTGAGTGAAAACCTGAAAACCAAATCATTAAATCAGTTTTCAGGTATTCACTCTCATGCACTCATATCATGCACTAAATAATGTGAAATTAAGTAGCATATATTAATGAAATTTAATGGTTTATTTTTATAATTAAATTAATAACCGTTTTTTATAGTCATGCATTAAATCAATGAAAGTAAAATGAAATAGATAGTTTAATTATAAACTTAGCTTATTTTAGATGTTTAAATAAATAAATGTTCTTTGTATTACACTAAATTAAATACGTAATGAATATTTTAAATGCCTAGATTAACAAAAGTTTAAAATGCACCAAATCAACATAATAAACTTGAATAAACAGTAATAATCATAAATTTAATGATTTTCTTCAAACACAACAAAAACATTTCAATTACGGTAGCAAAGTATAATTTAAAGAAAGTATTGTACTGGTCAAGATAAAGCATATAGGGGTGTTAAGCCAAATTATGTTAATTAAAGACAGTGCGTTCAATGTGCTATATATTTTTCGTGCAACTCAAAAAGATGGAAAATCATAAAATTTTGAAGTTTCATACGCGAGCTTCAACTCATATCGATCACTAACTGTAACATGCCCATCTATGGCTTTTTTAAATTTATTATTCTGGATCTTTGAAAACATCCGTTCGATAATTCCTATAAGTGTTGTATCAAAACATGTGGATGCACTCAAATTTCTGTATCCCTAGACATGACTAAGTTTACATAAAACATTACACAGATTCTATACATTTTTATATTTGATAATGTATATAAGTAAAACATGCTATTTACTCTTCGGCTAAAGCGGTAATGTAAGAATCTGTATGAGCAAGTAACTTATTTTTGTATATTAAATAGCTAATATATTAATGATTATCTATAGTATCTACGATTATAGTAGCAAGAAAAGGCCTTTGTACATTCATATAGCTACCTTGTAATACTTTTTGCTTATTAATCAGATTATTTCACCCATTGACATCGAAGGGAACAAAGGAGGTCATCTTTATTACAGAGAGAGCAATAATGAAAGAAAAAGATATCCATCTCCCAAATGAACATAATTCTTTAAATACAGTAACTCATTCCTTAATACTATTCACTAAGAAATACAAAAAAAGAAATAATTAATAAGTTCCTACTCACATTTTTCTTTGAAGTTTTGTATTACTAATGCAAATAAGTAAAACATTTTTTTGTCTTGCGTGACTACGTTTAGTAGTCACTATAATTACATAATTATGTAATTACGCCTGCACTACAATACTACCGGAAACGCTTTTTATGCAATATTACATCATATAAGCCGTTTTTTTTAAAAAAAAACGAAAATTACACAGTTGTAAAATTTTGAGTTTAACCGGCTTAGGTTTTGAACTTAACATTTCATACTATTCATATCGATATGAGTATAGTCGTATGTTCTGGTTTTCCGGAACACACCGATGACCCAGCTGTATTAGGATCCTAACCCCCTTAAAAATACTTGAATTTAACAAGATGCCTTAAACTTTTATGTTAATCGAAGATGTGATATATCATAGTCATATGATATCGATTAAACATGATCGCAATCAAGTTGTAGCTAATCTATTACCAATTATAAAAATCGTTAGCCACACGATCCGCAGTTCTTTAACAATTAAATATACAGTACTAGTAAGTCTAAAAAGCAGCAAGTTTGTTAAGCGCAATGTTTTCTATTTTTTCAAATTTGAAATCCAATGCTTACTGACTTTTATTAAAATTTATGCATAATAAAGATTATTCAATATTATAAATTATTTATTTATTTTATTTACCATTTATGAAAGAACATTCATGATAAATTTGAGCACTAACTAAATTTGCATATCTAGAATCACAATAATCATCCAAAAATAAAGTAATAAAGTAATTTCGATCATCAAAATAAATATCTAAAGGATCCGAATTATCTGAATTATCAGCAATTCGTTTACGGCCTATCATAGAATCATCATGGGAAATAATTTGATATGGCTTATTAACATTTAAGTCAACACAATAAGTCTCAATAACACAATGTCCTTCACGTAACAACCCATACGGCCTCATTCCAACAAATTCCGATACAAACATATTTCCCGATCTAGCTTCTGATACTTTTTTAAATATATTAGAAGACCAAATTAATACACTAAATTTGACAAATGATTTTAATGTATCAAATTTAGGTAAAATTTTTAATTTCACTAAAACTCTTGAATGTAATACTATAATATTCTTTGACTTTGGTTGTATATTTCCAAATAACTTTTCTGTATGACAATCATTATGAGCCATATCAATTTTGTTGTACTCATAAGAGTAATAACAAACATGATCTGGAACTTCTTTCCATAGCATTGGAGGTTGCATTGGAGGTTGAATACCATTTACACCATTTATACCATTTATATTAGTTGTAGGCGTTTCGTCCGATGATAAATTCTGTAATGAATATATCAAACCCTCTTCGTTAACATAATCTTGGTCAATACTATATTTTGACATTGTATTAATTTTTTGATATTTTTGATATTTTTTATATCGATAATTCGATGATTTTAATGGTAGCGTAAATTAACTAACAAATTTTGTTGTATTTATAATAAATTTAATAATAATACAAACCAATTAAATGCCATAAAGCAGGGCACAACAAAAAAAGTGCTACGCCTCATTATCGTGCAGTTTTCGGGGAACAACTGTATCAGTATTGTCTATCCTTTCGGATGATCATATATGATCAGATCAGTCACATTCAACCCTAGTTGTCTATACGTAAAAGGTTTAATTTGTTACAAGAAATTAGTTTTTCCATTATTCGTTCATAATAAAATTTTATAAATTTTAAAATTCTAAGACCCTATAAAAAAAAAAAAGGGACGTTCGGAAAAAATGGTTAGAACGGAGTCTATTTCCGAATAATTTCCTATTAGATCTTCTGTTTAATGTTTTATTTAGTCATGTGCAACATTCACTCGTACGTACTTAAGTACTGTATTTGTACGCATGTCCGTTGTGATAATCTAGAAAATAATGTGACTCCAAGTAGGGATGGTAAAAAAAAAAACAGCTTTAGTTTTAAATATTTTTTCACCGATTTAAAACAGGTGATTATTAAAATCCGAATAGTTAAATCTGAATTTAAATATAGTTAATATCATAATCGCCTGTTTTTAATAACATAATAAAAAACTTTTGCCATCCTTAGCTCCAAGGTAGTACAACGATCTTCTGCTATTGTTTTCATTTATGGAAGGGATTGATGAAACGAATCAAAAAAATATTGGAATAAGTATTTTTTGGTAAACAGATGGGAAGGGTGGAAAAGAGAATCAATATTGATTTATTAAATCAAAAGAGGTTTTATATATGTAATGACAAACGTTGAAAAATCCTACTTGAATAAAATGTGGCTTGAGTTCATTACTTGAAAAGTCCTAATAAAGTGTTTCTCTAAATAATACTCTAATAAAGAAAAAATTAGTTCAATAAGCTCGTTACTATAAAATTGAGGGTTGCATTTTCTTCTATGGATGGCAAAAAAAAAAAAGATTTTTTTTCATCGTTTTAAAATGTGAGATGTTTATGGTTTGAATATCAATATGCGTAGTATAATTTAAAGTATTCGATCATAATCATCGCACGTCTTAAAAAAATTTTTTTTACTAACCCTTAGTTATACTGGTCCCGCAAAGGATCGGTCCCAGACAAGGCTGTGGGACTATCCTTGAAAACAACTCTGTAATATTCATGTTATCCAATAAAATTGCTTAATTAGATTTATGATTTTGTTTATGTTATACGTACCTCAGACTAACGCTTGCCTCAGATTATAAGATTACAACGTTAGATGAGATGTGTATTGTTGACTATTATTTTTTGAACAATCAAATTCAACCAATTAGCACTTGCATGACATGAACGTTTTTTCTGTATATATTAGGAGTTCCTGCGAGCAGTATCTTGCCAAATTTCATGTCGTGAATTATAATATTGATTTTTAATTTTAATGTCTTTAAGGGCTGAATTCAAATTTTGATATAAAGTTAGTAAAATACATTCTTATTGGCTTTTATATATACCACGCATATATAAATATAGTACAGTGTTGTTACTGAAGCTTAAAGTTCCAGTAACACTGTTGATTTTACTCCAGTGACAACACTAAATATAGTATCGAAATAACAATTACCTTTAAATAATAATTTACTAGCTTGTGATTGTTATTATGAAACTAAACCTAAATAATTAAATATAAAGTGACTATCTATGATATAAATGTATTTGGTAATGAAAGTAGTCAAGAATAAAATTTGCGAAGTTTATTTATTTTAATCTAATATCAATTCTACTAAACATTTAAATTATTATAATCTATCTAAACATTGCAATTTTCAATAACATGTGGGATTCCCCTGACACTTAGTGTTTGATTACTATAACGAGAGAAATTAGAATATGTAAAATCCAATTGACTTTGATCACAGAATTATGAGACAACCGATTCATCACAATACATTTTATGTAACATTTGTAAGGGCCATTTCCGAAGATTTTTTATGATAAATAAAAGCTTTATATTCATCTTTTTCAACTCCAATGCCATAAAGATAACAATAACCAACATTAGATATTCCGCTATTATGACCCATCTCTGCAGATTTCTGATAATAAATGAACGCCTTATTTTCATCTTTTATAATACCGATTCCTTTATCATAACAATATCCGACATTATTTAAACCACCAGCATCACCCATGTCAGCCGATTTTTGATAATACATGAATGCTTCATGTTCATTCTCTTCAACTCCAATTCCAAATTGATAACAACAACCAACATTATAAGTTCCACTAGCATGACCCATATCGGAAGCTTTTTGATAATAAATGAACGCCTTATTTTCATCCTTTTTAACACCAATTCCTTTTTCATAACAAACACCAACACAAAATATTCCTTCAGCAAGTTCCATTTCAGCAGACTTTTGATAATAACTAAATGCCTTAAGTTCATCCTTTTCAATCCATTTACCAAAACGATAGCAACTTGCAAGAATAATTTGAACCATAGGATCGACTTGATTTTCTAAGCAATATTTAATAATATTATTTGGATTTTGCTTTTTTTTTACTAGAAATTGTTCTAATGTATTAATTATTGGTTCTGAATTTTTAGCTTTTGCCCTTTCTTCATTGTATAGAATGCATAATTCATTGACAATTTCATCAAAAACATTCGACAACTTATTATCTTCTAAACTTATTTGGTTAAATTTGTCGGTTATTTGAATAGTATCATCTGATGAATTAACAACTTTTCTTGAATGTTCTAGATTATTTAACATTTTAAACAGAGTAAAAAAAAATAGTTAACAAAGCATGTAAATTATCTGTATCGGTACTACTATATATCCTTTAAACAGATAGGTAAGTTAAAAATCAGGTGATCAATATGTATAAATTATACAAGACTTTAAAAACTTTTAATCCATATACAGTACTAAAATTGACTAAATTACGTATCATAAAATTCTTAAAAAACTAGTTTGGCGTACATTGTGGCAGGTAAATTGTGTTGGGACAGAATTAACTCGTTCTATCGTTACACATATCAACTATAGTACCCGAAAAAGTTATACTTACGAATCTATGTACGAGAAGTCCATTTTTTTTGGAATACAATTTCATCGAAGTCGTAATACTGAAAATTTTATCACTGAATATCAAATTAATCGACAAGTTTATTTCACTGACAGTTTATTTCACCGATAGTCATTTCACCGACAAGGTAATCCTGGTCAATGTTGTTAAGGTTAGTACAGAATTAGAGTTAAGGTTGAGTTAAGGTTAGTACGATTTTTTTAAAAAAGCCTGTCGATTAAATGAGTCATCAGTGAAATAATCGGTTAAATTACTTTCGGTGAAATGACACAGACCTATTTCGGTTCTGTCATTAAAGTGAAATGTATTTCAGAAAAATGAATTTTGAAAAGTTAACCCGAACTACAATTTTATTTGCCATTTCGAAAGCTTCGATAATAATTTAAACAAATATACATAGTTGATTCACATCCGTATTCAATTTCTTGTATTTGATAATTTTACTAATCAGAATACTCACCAATTGGTTTTCTTTGTTTTTTTTTATTGATAAATTCATATTTTTGCTTTGTATGACAAAAACAATGAATAATTTGCTCACTTATCATTGTTTTAAAACTATGAATCAGATTACTACTTGTATTGTCATTATGAATGTCATCACCTGATAAATTTATAACGTTAGCTACATTTTTGATGATTTAATGAAATCCATTTTGATTTTATAACTGAAAATCATTTGTCCATTTACTATAAAAGTTGCCGCATTTAAGTTATAAAAATTTTCCATAAATACAATGGTGAAATATAATCATTAACCATTAATACGTATATCGTATATTTCTGGTTTCAAATTATACAATAGTTTGAATTTTAACATTACTGATAAATTATTCAAATTAATTAGGTTCAAGTGCTAGTTAGTATATAATTCTAATAATAAAATTTTTGTAAAGTATTATCAGTATTTATTGTGAGAGCTTTTACGATACAGGGTCTAATTTAACTTTAATAGTGAACTTGTACAAGAACTTATATCAATCGCTTAGAGCTTGTACACATGATACGACGAAATTAATTTAATCGAATCATTGTATTGATACACTTTACTTAATTATGGCACAACTAATGTAACTTTTTAATTAATACTGTAATAGACAACGCTTTTATGCTTTCACGATATATTAGGGATAACGATTAACATGGTTTGTCTATGTCTAGTCGTTTTGAACTAAATCTGTAAGCTTAACGACTGATTTAATTATTCTAGTACTCTATCTAACCATTTTCGGACAGTCTAAGCTTTAGTCCAGGTCTAATTCCTACAACTTATTCCTTAGTAAATACAAATATTTGGACCGTTCTATATTTCTAAGCCTCCGCCACCAACGACGTTAGAGTTGTGCTTTTATAAAGAACCTTTGCAAGTTCTTCTCCTTCGTCATTGCCTATGTTAGACTTAGGGTAGATAATGTTGTATTCTCATAAGCATCCTCTGCCAATATTTTTTCAGTTCCTTATCATAAAAGTTACAGTTCCGAAATGCTAATAACTTTTAAAACTAAATTAATGTCAACAAGCTCTAAAAAACGTAATAGAGATGCTTTCGTAAAGAATTTTTTCTGATATTTTCTCAAAATTATTATATAACTTTTGTAATATTTATCATAATGACGTTCATATTCCTCTGGGTAAAGATAATGTATGATTCTTTTATTTAAATTATAAATATCAACATATGTAATATATTTAAATAATAGTTTTGGGAAGGAATACATTTAATAAAATTGATAACCCCTTTTTTTCTTTAGCATTAATGATAAAAGGTATATCTTTATAAGTTTTCTATCATCGCAGTACTTTAATGGTTGGCTCCACAATAATTCTACACCATTGACAAT